GGTTCAAGTGATCCTTTTACCTCAGCCTGCCAAGTAGCTGAGACTACAGGTGACCACCATGATGCCTGGTTAATTTTTCTGTTCTTAGTAGAGATGGGGTCTCACTCTTGCTCAGGCTGGTCTTGAACCTGTGAGCTCAAGTAATCTACCTGCCTCGGCTTCCCAAAGTAGTAGGATTTTAAGAGTGAACCACTGCGTCCAGACTGCCTGGTGTTTTAGGTAAGCTATTATTGAAATTATCCTACTAAATAGGAACAAGTCATTAAAAATACAGCTAGCTAAATTAGAAGTGACTTCATGAGATTTAAAATGCAGTATACATTGGCATCCATTTTGTGTCCAGAAAGATAATAAATATAATATTGTAGAAAAAGCATATTAATAAGAGGATAAACTGGAGAAATTCTAATAGAAAACAAAAGAATAAAGATATGTAAATGAGAGATAAAAATAGCTAATGTGAAAAAGAATGCCAAGAATCTGTCATCTTAAATCCTACTGAGGAAGGAAAGCTGAAACAATGAGAAATGGAAATCGTCTTGACATTACAAACAAAATCAACCTAATCGAGTATGCAGTCAATGTATTTTATCAGAAATAATCAATAGCGCCAGTAGAGCAACGGCCATAAGCACCAAAGCTAGCGAGTTTGATCCTGGCCGAGGCCTGCTAAACAAACAACAATGACAACCACAACAAAAAAGTAGCTGGGTGTTGTGGCTGGTGCCTATCGTCCCAGCTACTTGGGAGGCTGAGGCAGGAGAATACTTGAGCCCAAGAGTTTGAGGTTGCTATGAGCTGTGACACCACGGCACTCTACCCAAGGTCACATAGTGAGTCTCTGTCTTAAAAAAAAAAAATTAATAGCTACAAAAGTCCTGACAACTAAAAGTAAATTTCAACATACAGAATTATTTAGTCTTAAAAAAATAAAGAGGCAATTAACAAAAGCAAAAGATTGGCATTTCTTTTTATATATATATATTTTATTTTTTATCATTATTATTTTTTTTGAGACAGAGCCTCAAGCTATCCTCCTGGGTAGAGTGCTATGGCATCACACCTCACAACAACCTCCAACTCCTGAGCTCAAGCAAGTCTCCTGCCTCAGCCTCCCAAGTAGCTGGGACCACAGGTGCCCACCACAACACCTGGCTATTTTTTGGTTGCAGCCGTCATTGTTGTTTGGCGGGGCCCAGGCTGGATTCAAACCTGCCACCTTAGGTGTATGTGGCTGGCGCCTTAGCCACTTGAGCCACAGGCGCCGAGCCAAGATTGGCATTTCTTACACCAATACTCTTCACAGTAATGAATGGTAAAAGTGATAAGAAATGTCTACAGAGTTCTGTAGAGACGAGGTCATCGCCAATAAATTCAGGAAAATTATGCATTTGTGTGCCATAGAAATGGAAGAATATTCTCAGAAACGCAGGAACTAAAAGAACATATGTCTCTATTCCTCCTGAAGTTTCTGTGAGAATGTCTACTAGAAGATCATAAAACGAGCCCAAGGTTAGATCTCAGGACAAGTAGGAGAAAAGAACTGGAAATAAGCACTAAACTACACACACACAATTACTGTAAATGTGGGTACAGGGACACAATATAAAAATAAACCGAAAGGAAAAACGATCTGTTATGTCGTTCAGCTAAAATTACTAGAAATGAGGGCAGTTGAGGAAGCGAGAAGATTTGGCTCTTTGTTTCCTATAAAGAGGAGTAAGAAGTTAATGTACATTTGTAAATAAAGTGATAAGTATGCTCTGCTAGCTGTCACCTATCAACTAGCTAGCACTCTGCATTGCTGCAGAGAAGCCTGGGACTGCCGTTTCTAGAACTGCCTTCCCCATATGGTTTGGGGTTAGCTTTTGCCCAGAAGAGACACTCTGGAGAAGTCTGGAAGGGGAAGTCATTGTTCTCCTGAGATAACCTGTGATCAGAAAAGTGCCCAGGCTGCAATTTCACGGTGGCTTCCCCCTGAGTCCCAAGAATCACCTGCTTCAGGCATTCTGGCCCAGATCTTGATGGCAGACTTGCTGGCCTTAGCATCCCTGATTTTTCAAAGTTTATGCCAGCCCCTAATTGTTTGGGTTTTTTTGTTTTTGTTTTTGTTTTTTGGAGACAGAGTTTCACCATGTCGCCCTGCGTAGAGTGCTGTGGCATCACAGCTCATAGCAGCCTCCAACCCAAACTCTTGGGCTTAAGCGATTCTCTTGCCTCAGCCTCCCAAGTAGCTGGGACTACAAGTGCCCACCACAACACCCAGCTATTTTTTGTTGTTATTGTTGTTGTTGTCATTGTTGCTTCGCAGCCCAGGCTGGGCTCAAACCCGCCAGCCTCAGTGTATGTGGCCAGTGTCCTACTCACTGAGCTATGGGCGCCGAGCCAGCCCCTAGTTCGTGTACTAAACCTTCCATTCCTGAAATACCTGAACCCCCATTTCCTGGTTGAATCTTGGCTGACACATCTGAATTTAAGAATTAGTTCATAATGTAGTCACCATTCATAGACTTTAAAGGAAGTCTAGTTTACAAATCACAGGAGGCGTTAAGAAGCCAACAAAATACATAGCAAAAGACAAAACAGAAAGCAAACAACTTAATAAGGCCTAAAGTAAGGTGACAGAAGCCATCCCAGGCCTAACAGTTTTGTCAACAAACGTCAACACTTTTGTAAAGCCACTTTCGTAACAAGCAGACTCTCAGTTGCAGTCAAAACAACAAAGCAATCCAAGGACTGCTCACCCAGGACGACTTCATGAAGGTTAAAGACTGAAAATCCAGGGAGGGGGCAAATAGAAACAAAAGGAAAGCAAGGAAGGATTTAAGGTGATAAGGATTAAACAGAGTAATTAAAATGTTCTTAATGTTTACACCACTAGTTAACGAATACATTCCCATGTAAGAAGTTCAGAGGATAGGGAATTAAATAGTGAAGGTAACCACCGCTCACATCTTGGTGTTGACTCTTTCAGTCTTCCATCATCTGTCTATCAGCAGACTTCACAGCAAATCCAGAGGAACAAAAAAGGACTGCTTTTTCCTCTGAGCTCCTCCTTGGAAACGAGAAAATCTTTTCCAAAAGCTCTGATATACTTCTCTTGTCTGGGCCCAGTTACTTCCTAGGAAAATGTGATTATCATGATTGCCTTAGATTAATCCTTTGGAGTGATTAGATGTTGGAGGGAAGGAGGGAAGGCCAAGGATAGGGATCACCAAGGAAACTTTGTTAAATTTTCGGTGTCTAACTATTTAGCTGAAATGTATTTGCATGTGATGCTAGGTAAGAATCTAACTTTGATGCCGATTTAATTATTTCAATACTCTTTATTGACTATGCCATTGTTTTGCTATTGATTTGAGAAGCCACCTTATATATACACACACAGGCGTACCCATGTGGCTCTCGGATCTGTCTTCCGGGTCACTCTGTGTCTACGTCTGTACGAAAGTCATCAGCTCTACTGTGTTTGGCTATGTGGGAAGATGGCCCAACCACATTTATTGTTTTTGCTTTTTAAGAATATTTGTTATTATCATATGATGTTTCCTATTTATTAAATGAGCTTGTCAGGATAAAAGAATAATTTTTTATAATTTTCAATAAGGTTCCATTATATAGCTATTACTTTGTGAGAGAATTACTACCTTCACAATATCCAATCCCCCAATTCAGGACTTTTTTTTTAATATCTCTCAGACAGATTTATCATCTTCTTCATATCAGGCCATACATGTTTGTTACTAGGTGTATTAACCTGCTTGCATGACCATAACAAAGTATCCCAACAGGGCAGATTAAGGAGTCTAAAACCAAGGCGCCAGCAGATTCAGTGTTTGGTGAGGGCCCACTTCCTGGGTCATAGATGGCTGTCTTCTCACTGTGTCTTCAAATAGTAGAAGGGGCAAAAGCCCTCTGTGGGGCCTCTTTTAAGTACTAATGCTTTTAAATACTAATTAGTACACGGGTACTAATCCCATTTATGAGAGCTCCACCTCTCAAAGGTGCCACCTCCAAAAACCATCACACTGGGGATTAGGTTTCAGCATCAATTTGGGGGGAATACATTTCCACCCAGAGCATTAGGTTTACCACTGGGCCACATATTTCATAGGGTTTGAAGCTACTGGGAGCAAATAAAGAACTGTTTGGCAAAGAGGGTCAACAGGAGCCATGGGGAGGAATAAAAATGGATCTCTGCTTGCACCCTAGTAAGTACAGTTTATTCAATAAAAGTTGGATTATGGATTTCTTCTCCAAGACGGCTGTACCGATGTACCTTTCTACTGGCAGAGTTTCTGTTTTTCACTCTCCTTGTCATCTCTTTCATTTCTAAACTCTTTGCCATCCACATGCACAAAAACCTGGGGCTCATTCATCTTTGCATTGCCCTGATTGACTAGTCAGAGCCAGCCTTCCTTTCTTTTCTTTTTTTTTTCTGCAAATAATTGGTTTCTATTTTTTCCCCAGTCATGTCCCATGTTTTTTGTATTTTATTGATTGATTGATTTTTATTTCAGAGTATCATAGGGATGCGAATGTTTTGCTTACACAAATTGCTTTGGTACAGTTTGAGTCAAAGTTAGAAGTGCCCGTCACCCAGATACTGTCCGTTGTACCCCTTAGGTATGAATTTACCCATCCCCTCCACCTACTGGATTTCTGATGAGTGTTATTTCCAAATGAGCACAGAAGTGTTGACTGATGATTTCCATTTTAATAGTAAAAGGCGAAAGATTTATATGATCTGAAGAGAAACTAGGATATTTCCAATTTAATAGTGAGCACACATGATGTTTGCATCTCCATTCTTGTGATACTTCACTTCAAGAATGGTCTCCAGAAGTTAATACGAGAAGTATCAGTTCATCACTTTTTTAGGGCTGACTAGTATTCCAGGGTGTACATATCTGACATTTTATTAATCCACTCATGTGTTGATGGGCACTTAGGTTGTTTCTACATCTTTGTAATTGTGAATTGGGCTGCAATAAACATTCAAAAAAATGGAGTGCTTCACACATTTGTGTAGCACCCTTGAGTAAGGAGCCATGCTAATTTTCTCTTTACCATTCCAGTTTTTGTGCGGCCAGAGTGAGCACAGCACCTCTCTCATGTTAATGTCCATTCAGTTCTTCTCTTTCCCATTTCTCCACTAAGTTGCTGTCTTTTCCTTGTTAATTTGTAGACTTCTTTACATATTCAAGACACAGTTATTTTGTAAGTTATATATGTGCAAATACTCTCCCAGCCTGTGACTTATCTAAAAAATAGCTTGGCTGGGTGTAGAGGCTCATGCCTGTAATCCTAGCACTCTGGGAGGCTGAGTCATGTAGGATTGCTTGAGCTCAGGAAATTGAGACCAGCCTGAGAAAGAGCGAGACCCTACCTCTACTAAAGATAGAAAAATTAGCCAGGCATTGTAGTGAGCACCAGTAGTCCCAACTACTCAGGAGGCTGAGGCAGGAGGATCACTTAAGCCTAGGACTTTGAGGTTATTCTGAGCTAGGCTGATGCCAAGGCATTCTAGACTGGGCAATAGAGTAAGACTCTGTCTCAAAAAAATAAATAAATAAAAATTAAAAGATAATGTCTTTTGACATGCCAAAGTTTTTTATTTTAATGTAGCCTTATTTAACTCTTTTCCTCATGGGGTGACTTGTCAAGAAATTCTTCCCTATCCCAAGGACATAAATATATTGTTATATATTTTCTTTTAATAGTTTTAGCAAAGGTTTGCATTTTACATTTGAGTCTCGAATCCTTCTAGAGATTACTTTGGATAAAGGATGAAGTAGGAATTTCATTTCATTTCATTTTCCATTTAGAAATCCAGGCGTCCCAACACCATCTGTTGATATCCTGTCCTTTCTGCACTTATTGGTCCTGTTACTTCGGTTGTATACCAAGTTTCTTTCTATCTGTGTTTCAGTTTCCAGGCTCTCTACTCTGTTCCACCAATCTATCGGTCTCTTCATACATCTAGAGACCACTTTCCCCATTGCAGGGTAGATGGTGGGTCCATACACACAGGTGTGTGTGTGTGTGTGTGTGGTGGACAGGACTGGGGTTGGTTCTAAGGTAGAATGGCAGGTAGGAAAGATTTTCTTGACTATCAAAAGCCTGATTCTTTTAAAGGAGATCTATGAGAAGGGTCATATGGGCCAAGAATTGGGAAGCAAAACAATCATACTCAGCAAATTCCAGGAAGTGTTCAATGGCTCTAAAATTTCAGGAGTGCTGTTGCTCCCATACCGTACCAACCTTGGTTTGCAACATCCAGATTTCTCACAAGGAGATGATGTATGGAGTTAAAGTCATCTTTTTGGCGCTTTGTACACACAAGTATAATTGTAGCTGCCCTGCAATAGTCCAAGTGGCTCTGAGAGTACCTGAGGATGTCCTCCTCATTCTGTGACATTGTACATTCATGGGTGGTGAGACTGTGGTTTCCCCCTCTACTTTCAGCTTTCCTACATTCTCTAAATGTTTTATGGTGCACATGTGTTGCTTGTATTAGAAGTGTGCTCAGCTACAATAGCAGACAAGTTGGGGGCTGACACAAAGTAGGATTCATTTGTCTCCCAAGAACAAGAAGTCATTGGGTAGAGAGCCCAGGGCTGAGCCAGTGCTATGACACCATCAGGGACCCACAATTTCAGTCCTACTGCTCTGCCACCCTTAGGATAGAGGCCGTCATCCTCATCCCTGTAGCCTCATTGTCACAGGAAGGCTGCCGGTCCTCCAAACTCATCCCCATGTTACAGAAAGAAAGAAAAAACGAAAGGATTGAGGAAGTGGTGACACCTTTGTTAGCAAGGCAGATGTTTTTCCAGAAATGGTTCTATCTTGGTAACCTATTAATGTCTCAATGGCTATGACTACCCCTAGGTGCAAAGAAGGTGAGAATTTCTATCAGGGTGCACTGTGGCATGGAATATTCTGAAGCAGGGTTTGGCAAAGAATGGCCAAATCTTGCCTGATGTCTGTCTTTGTAAATAAAGTTTTATTAGAACACAGCTATACACATTCATTTACACATGGTCTATGCCTGCTTTTGCTACAATAGCAGAATTGGGTAGGTGCTAAAGAGACTATATGGCCAGAAGCCCAAAATATTCACTATTCTGGCCCTTTACAGAAAAAAGCTACAAAATCCTAATGTAACAGAGGAGGAAAGGGTAGGAAAAGGCATCTAGGTAAGTAGGAAAAAAAAGTCTGCTATGTAGGCCAGTAACCCTGAGGAATGCCTCCCGCCTTGAGAAGAGCAAGATGTCTAAATGTACACATCCCACAAAGAAAATGGCAAGTGTTAAACGATAAAACAAAAACATCAAAAGAACCCAATTAAAAAGGAATTTACTAGAATAATTACATTTTTATACAGTTTCCAGGCCCTGCTTTGCACCAGCCCTGATATCTGAAGGGCAATGGTTTAATCTTCCAACTGATTATTTTCTCATCATTTTCTGTTCATTAGGACGGACAAGAGATCTCAGGTTTCATAGGTTCTTTCTTGGGTTCTTCAGGGGAAAAGCAGTAAGATGAGAAGGCTGTGTGAAGTGGCCTCTGTTCTCTGTCCTCACCCCGCAGTGAAAGGGAAAGGTAACACTGCCTTGCAAGTTACACCAAGAGGAAATAGTTCTCATCATATCCGAGAGAATGTGTGGTAGCGGCTGAAAAGGAGACCACAGGATCCGGGGGAAGGTGGCTCTGAGCTTTTGAATAAGGCCTAGTGGCCGCTGGTATTTTAGATAGGAATCCCTATAACAATCTCACTGTGTCATAACCTTGATTTGCCTTGACTGTGAAAAATCAGCCCCAGTAACCTGGAATGAATGTTGGGGATCTTCCTCAATCCTGAATAAGAAAAACAAATCCAGGGCCAGGTGCAGTGGTTCACACCTATAATCCTCACACTCTGGGAACCCAAGGCAGATGGATTGCCTGAGCTCAGGAACTTGAGACCAGCCTGAGCTAGAATGAGACCTTGCCTCTAAAAAAATCAGCCAAGCATTGTGACGGGCACCTGTAGTTCCAGTTACTTGGGAGGCTGAGGCAAGAGGATCACTTGTGCCCAAGAGTTTGAGGTTGCTGTGAGCTATGATGTCATGACACTCTACTGAGGGTAACAAAGTGAGACTCTGTCTCCAAAAAAAAAAAAAAAAAAAAAAAATCCACATCTTGGAGTAACGTAACACAAGATTCTCATGATAGACTGGTTGAGCTTGGCCCTGGGAGTAGGACTAATAAGAGGACCGTAGGCCTCCATGGCTCAGGGTCTCTCTGCAGTGACTGTCACAGGTGTTTTTTATAATTTACATCCCAGATGTCTAAGGTAGTAAGACTGAGCCAGCCATAGGACTCCCTATATAGGGAATCCACTCTCCTTATGGCTACCGAGGGATCCAGTTTAAAATGCAAGTCTGACCAGGGATATGAGGGAGTTTCATCTAGTGAATGAACTGTGATGGGTCCATGTCACTGCCTGGAGCACTCTGTGAAGGTCAGTCCAGAGTCTGCATCTGGGTTCATGTCACCATTTGAGGGAGACGTGTGTGCATGGAAGAGAAGTATTGCCGAAGTGCCAGGCCTTGGGGATGATTGGCTACAGCACAGAGTCTTCATTCTTCTGTCACGTGGCTCCTGTCACCCTCTTCAGTGTCCTTCTAATCCAAATTTACCAAAGCCTCCTTCAGAGTGAATTCAGCCCTAATCTTCCCTGTCTGTGGACTGATCCAGGCTTCTACTTCTGTATCTCAATAGCACTAAATATGTGTTGCAACAACCCCCAATTGAGAGAAATTGTCTGTTTGCCTTCCAGTCTCTAAGTTTTAAGAGAAGCTGTGTGAGCTCTGTGGGACAGCACAGCTCTTGTCATATAGTAGACGACACTGAATAAGGCTTTTTTTTTTTTTGGCCCAAATTTTCTTACCAGGCAAATGGTGAGCTTTGCCTACGGCAGGGATCAAAGCAAGGCAAAACAAAGAAAGCTTCACAGAAAAGATGCTACTCTAGCTGAATTTTGAAAGACAGGAGGTAATCAGTTAGATAAAAAGGGAGGATGAACTTGCTGGGAAGAGAAAGCAGGATTTGCAAGTGCACCCAGGCATGGAATAGTGAGATGTGTCCAGGAGACTAGAAGGAGCCCCGTTAAGGAGGTGCAGAGGCTGATGAAGCAGAAAGTGGCAGACAGGCTGGTCTGGGCAGGTCACGGCCACAGGAGCTAACCGAAGACTCCCAGCTTCCACCTTGAAGCAAAGAGAGCCACTGACTGTGTGTAAGCAGGGGAGTAGCACGGTGATGTGTGAATTTAAGAAAGGTCACTCTGGGCTCAGTGCCTGTGGCTCAAGTGGTTAAGGCGCCAGCCACATACACCTAAAGTGGTGGGTTCGAATCCAGCCTGGGCCCACCAAAACAACAATGACGCTGCAACCAAAAAATAGCTGGGTGCTGTGGCGGGCACCTGTGGTCCCAGCTACTTAGGAGGTGGAGGCAGGAGACTCGCTTGAGCCCAGGAGTTGGAGGTTGCTGTGAGCTGTGATGCCATGGCACTCTACCCAGGGGGATAGCTTGAGGCTCTGTCTCAAAAAAAAAAAAAAAAAGGTCACTCTGGCTGCAGGGTAACCGATGACTTGGTAGAGAGGATCCTTCTAGCATCCATTGTTGCTGATAAGAAAGAAGCCTTACGCTGGTCTGATTTTTATTCCTTTGTCCACGACTGTTTCATTTCTTCAAAAGTTTTTAATAATGTCTCTAGGTGTAAATTTTGGGTTTTGCCTGGTTTGGAGATCACTCTTGTTTAGAGTACTCAAGGAAAGTTTAACAATGAGATTGCTTATAAAGGTGGGAGAAAGGTTGAGGGAAACCAGTAAAGGATGATTCACATTCTAAGCCTCATGTCTTCCTTCTTCTATGGAAAATGCTCTTGAACTATTTCTTTTCTTTTCTTTTCTTTTGCAGTTTTCTTGGCTGGGGCTGGGTTTGAAGCCGCCACCTCTGGCGTATAGGACTGATGCCCTACTCCTTTGAGCCACAGGTACCACCCCTTTGGACTATTTCTTTATTATGGACTATTATGGACTATTATTATGGACTATTT